CCTCTTCTCCCCTCCCCCTTTGTCTTGGGAAGCTGTATTTTGTATATTTGAGCAGCCAGTGTCCCTTTATTTCACCTGACTCTTTTCCAGTTAGTAACCACTTACCTCAGGGGAACATAATTAAGAGGGTTCTAGTTATCTGGGGGAAAGGAATTAAACAAATTGTGAAAGTGCAATAATAATGAACATGGACTACAGGGCCATTAATAAGTCTGCAGTATCCATATTCATTGCTAGGAATGAGCTCTCGCTGCAGGACATACCTGTAAGAGAAGCGCTCTGCATCACAGGCCCAGAATTTGTAAGAGGATTGGGTGGATAGACTCCTTGGCATACCAGCACTCCTTTCCTCTGGGCTGAAGTACTGGGTATGTGCTATGGGACAGCATGGACACATACCTTTCAGGTAAAGGTCATTATATTGTCAGTTCCCTGACACAAGCAGCAGAACCCCTTTCCTTTGCAGGAGAGCAGGAAGAAAGAATAGCTTTTATTCTTCCAGGATGTAATTGACGAAGTCAGCGCAATAATTCCCCAAGAACAAAGGCCCGGTACAGATATATCCTGTTCTGCTATTCAGAGATGTACAATGGCATCCCACAATCGCTGTCAGCCATAGGGCAGTTGTGACACAGTTGTCATGGCCTGCCTACACATGGACTTGGTCATAGCTGTTAATTTTCTCACCGCTTTAATTTAATTATGTGTGTTGTTGGTTCTGCCTATGTAGTGTCTGATTGCCGTTTAAAATGTCTTCAAAATTGCACTCAGATTCAACGTTGAAACGTGAAATCACTGTGAATACTGAAAGGGACCAGAGCAGAGAAGCATGGTGTTCATCTGCTGTTAGTGAAACAGGTGTTTGCATTCATATTTTCTTGAAAAGCAACAAACAAGTTCTTTTAGGACCTTATAAAGGAAGATAGGATCTGGTAGATGAAGTTTCATTACGTTTTGTTACTAGGAAACCCTTGATGTCAGGACACCTTGACATTGATGACTCTGAATCAGAAAATGATTCAGATGAGTCAGACTCTGAGTGTGAAGAAGCTTTTTAGGAATAGTGTAACCACTTAATTTTGCTGTATTTTTCTTTTAATATATGCCCAAGACTGATAAGTGGTTTTTAAAATGTGTCATTCTAAATGATAAGAAAGTAATGAATCATAGTTTTCTTGGTAGTTTTTATATTGTTGGTGGTATGTAAACTCGAGAGTAAAGATTGCCTTCTGAAGAAAGTGATAGGCAATCCTGCTGAACTCAGTACGTAGGCAGGTGACAGGATAGTGTGCGTGGATTCGGAGACCCATGTGTAGAGATGATGGACATCAAGCACTTCACACTCCTCATGGGGTCTCGACCATCCTCCTCAAGGGTTTACCAGATATCCATCAGAACCAGGGAAGGAACAAGAAACCATTCTTTGGGCGATAAGAGAATGATCCAGAGGTGCCAGCCATGCCAAGGGCTTGAAGAGAACCCATTTAGACATGATGACAGTCACTTACCGAGCCTCCCATGTGCTGCTCCTGTGCTAGGCGCTTCATAGGTTATCTCTAATCCTCGCAACAATCCTGGAAAATTTCTACTGGGGCAGTTACTGCCCTTTTAGAAAATACTTTACCAAGATATAACCAAAGATTTAAAAAGTCAGTCCTGCCCTTTGACTTAGTATTTCCATGTTTGGGAATTCATGCACATAAAGTTGTTTATTTTCATTATAATGTTACTCATACTGAAAAGTTAAAAGTGACTTAATGTCTAACTCTAGGAATAGGGTTCAGTAAATTATGCTGCCTCCATACTTGGTGGAATATTACGTAGTCTTTAAAATAATAATCACAAAGATTGTGTATAATATGGGAAATGTTAATGTAGCCAGTGAGAAAACAGTAAAATATATGCACTCTATAATTTCAAAGATATAAAAATGTTTTTTAATGTGGGCCACTATTAGAAGAATAATACAAAAGTAAAAGTACTTGTGTTAAGATGACGTGATCATGGGTGAGTGTTTTTCCCCCTAAAATTTCTCTTTACAATAAAAAGCCAAAGAAAAGAGGTTTCCACAGAAAATGAGTCAGTAGCTACAATAACTATTGAGGTATATTGAGAATAGAAATTGTTTTCAGAACACACCTAGAATTACCCAGTTAGGTATTTGCTACATTGAGATGTTAAAGAGACTCTGGGTTTCTTTTTTTTCCCTCTTCCCACTTGAATTTGTAATTAGTATATTTGCAGAGCAAAAATACAGTAGATTCAGGGAAGTATTTGAGGCTTTGTAAGCAAATGATGACAATGTAAAAGGTATTTGTCCAAATTTGCATTCATACAAAACATGGAGCTGCTGTGATTTCAGAATAAATGTGTTTTAAATATTTTCTAAATACAGAGCTGTTGCAGCCCTAACAATACTTGGCTAAGAAACTTCATTTCTATGATAGGCCATGATTACTCTTTGAAAAATTATTGGGCTTAAATACTGCCTACCTGGCAATAACTGAAGAGTGTGTCCCGCTTTGTCCCTTCTTGCATCTGCAGTCACTTCTGTAACACTCCTTTTTCCTCTCTTCCAAGGTATCACTGATTTTTATTGCAGAACAAAAGGGCATGGCATTAAAACCTACATATTCAAAATTCTACAAAATATTTCTTTTTCTGGTAAGAGCCTATGTTAAATTATACAGAGGCTTTTGCTGTGGGTATTTATTTTCACCTGTTTCTCACAGTTGTTTGAATGTCTTTTTCTGTACATTAATTGATTTGTTGGAACTTCAGTTCTGAAATTTGAATTAAAACTCAAGGTCATTGGTCAATTACATGATTGAATGTAGGAGCTGGAAAAGTTGATAAGATTTGGCTAAATATCATGGATTTGAATTTTTCTCCCTTCTATGTGTTAGGCTCTACTTCTGGACACATTAATAAGTGGCCATTTTTCTGGAATTTTGCACTCTTCCTGCTTCCTTTCATTGCATTAGGCTAGGTTCCACTAGATGAGACATTTGCAGTCAGAAGACTTCCTGCCAGGGTTCAGACTTTGTATTTTTGACATTGAAGCTGTCGTGTTCCTGAAGCTACTTAATTAGAAACACATTCATTTCAGTGTATACTGGAAAAAGCTTGGACAGCAGAGCCAGGCACACTGGGAAGTTTGAGCATTTGTGTAGCTGGCAGCTAAACTAATGGTTTACAGTTTAAGGGGAAAAAATATCATAGGGCATTTCCTTGCCCTAAGAAGCAAAGAAAAGTTGAATGTGCACAGCAGATACCTTTTTTTAAAAAGGAGAGAAGAAGAAGAAAGAAAAGACAACTCCACTTTCACTGCAGTTGTGTGTATAATTCTTTCTTGGCTATTATCAAATACAAAAGTCTTCCACAAGAATAGTTCCCAAACTGTGCTGCTAATATTCAAGTCTGTTTTACAGGCTCCCAAGATATAGTACTGCTGAGATTTGTAGTAAAAAGGACATTTCATATTCTGGGGAAGGATTTTTGCCTGAAGAATTTTATTTGTTGAATGGTAATGAGGGAATTGTGCCCTTTCTTATTTTTAAATGTTTGAGCAATTTTAAAATCCACATCTGATGTTTAAAAACCTTCCTTGCCTATCCATTGCTTTCAGGATAAAGCCTAAACTCCTTTGTTTGCAAACAAACCTTTCCTTTCTCTTTTCTTCCCACTCCTTGTTTCCCCATCCCTGTCCCCAAGAAAGCCATCCTTGTAGGTCCACTTCCACTCCCCCTTGCTGCCCCAGAGGAAAGGGTACCTGGTCATCTCAGTCTGAGCCAGGTGTCTTTTCTCTAGGCTCATGAAATTCCCTCTGCACCTTTCAGAGGAAGGTATCACATACTGGAGAGACATAGAGAAAACTTGCCAGTTGCTCTTTTCCTCCCTATTCCTTGACCTCCCTCCTCTACCCCCAAGAAAAATGTAGTATGGGAGGTAGGCCCCAAGGTTTTAGGTTTGGTCTTACAGGCTTTAGGTACGGTATTATTGTACTGACACTCTGGAAGTCAGTGTGGCACAGAGGAAGAATCTTTGGAGTCAAATCCTAGGTTTGCTACTTACTTGGTTTTGTGGCATTGGATAAGTGATTGAAGCCCTCTAGGCCTGTTTCCTCCTTGGTAAAATGGGGTAAACACCTACCTTGCATGGTGGTTGTGTGGATTAGGAAGGGTGAATTTGACGTTCCTCGTATAATGCCTAGCACATTTATCACTGGTAAGTAGCATCATAAGTGATGATGCGTGTTTGCACGTATACACATGCACACAGACTCCTGAAACCAAAGGAGATCAATCCACAATGCCCAGGTTTTAAAACCTTTGGAATTGGGTTCTCATCTCCTGCTGAGTTGCTAGCTTAGGAACTGAATGCTCTGTGAGTGAAGCAGTTGGAAGGGGCTTTATGAGTTGTAGTGTCATCTGGTGGTATGTGTGCACCTGGGAGGAGATGCTTGCTGGCAGCTCTCCATGTACTTTGTCCAATCAGAATGGACAGTTTGATCACATGTCTTTGGTGGCAGAAGGAAACAGCAAATAAAAAATCATTCTTCTTTGACACACGTTTTGCCCTCCATTCAACCTTGTTAACTGTGTCTTCTGTTGTAATCATGGCAATAATAGTTCCCATTTGTACCTGGAACTGCACTAGTTTCTCAATGTATATTTTCTCTCATTCTGATAGCAACCTGCCAGTTCTCTTCCCAGATCCCATTTTAAAGATAAGGCAACTGAGGCTGTGCAGTTGCATAGCTGCTATTTAGGGACTAACGCCTAAACTGATGCTCTTCCTGTGCTGCCTGCATTTTGAAATTCTTCTGAAATTTCTAGGCTTGGGAACAAAATGTCATATTAGGATTTTTGTTGTGAAAGAAAATGTAACTGTGCATACGTTTATTAAAACAGTTTTTCTCCAAATAGTGAACCATCTGTAATTTTCTGCCGGAAGCAACAGACATTAAAGCAGCTGTGTGTCTCTGTTTCTCTTCACAGTGCTCCCATGCCCTACCTCATAGGAATCCATTTAAGTTTAATGGAGGTAAGTTGGCTCCTTTCCTCCCCAGATCTCTCTACTTGTGGTTTTGTTTTGCTACACAGTGGTGGAAAAGAGACGGTCTCTGGATTCCCAGCTCTACACATGGGAGCGTGTCGAAGAAACACCTCACGTGTGGTCCCCCTCCCAGGTGCACAGAGCTGAGCATTCAACTTAGACCCTTTCCGCTGGGCTCTTATTTTCAGTGTTTTTCCACTTTGCTCGAAGTTGTCAGTTTTCATGGGTGAGGGAGTGAAGTTCGAAGGGGCAGGAGGAAAGAGTTCTTCAAAGATTTGAACAAGAGAAGGGAAATGATTTGCTTTTCAAAATGATGTTTATTCTAAATCATAACAATATCACATTTTTCATTGTAGAAAAAGCAGTGTAAAAAGTGTATAGAAGTGTAAAGAAGAAAATTAAAATTACCCACAATACCATTATTCTAAATTCAACCTCTGTTAGCATTTTACTATTCTTCCTCCTCTTTATTCTATGAATATATATTTTGTATAAATGTGCATAGTTGATATGTGTTATATATATATTTTTATGTTTTTATATGTCAATATTGTGGCATGGGGATTTCTACACATTTTTATTCACTCTCAGTAATAATAATTTTTAATTTGCTACCTGTCATTCCACTGTTTGGATATACCACAACTTAGCCGTTTTTCTGTTATTGTTGGACACTTATGTTGTTTATAATTTTTCGCTATTATAAATAGCATTTCAGTGAACATCTTTATGCATAAGGCTTTATCTGCATCTTGACTTATTTCTTTAGCGTAGAACCCCTAAAGTAGAAATGCTTGGTCAAAGCGATGAATCTGATGCCAGATTGCTTTCTGCATGGCTGTACCAATTAGATAGCAATTCTTATAAAGGATTTTTCTGTGCTTTTGTAAGTGCCACTGATTTGTAGACATGAACCCTAAGATTTTTCCTCCTTAGGAGAGAGCTTAAATTTGTACCAGAGCAAAATGGGGTGTGAGGTGGGGGCTTGCCTCTTTTGCACAGGAGATAAGCTCTCAGAGGGAAAATCTACAGCTATGTCCGTCTGTGATGATGCTTTGCATGTCTTAAAGGAAGTGCTACTTCTCTTCTTCTGTTCCCTTCATTTCACGTCGACGAGGACCACCTGCTTCTTCACTAACTGTTGCACACTCTGCTATTGTGCTTACGAAAATGAAACAAGTTGGTTATCGAAAAACCTGTTTGTTTGACATTGAGAATCTTGATCAAAATAGACCACAGAAATCTGCTCAAATTTCTAATTTGACAGGACGGCCATGTGGCTCCTACATTCTGTTAACAGTTCCTCCTTGTCATCACCCAGCCCTGAGCACATACAGTACACAGTTTATGGACTATCTTGGATGGTGTATTTAGATCAGATTGAAGAGATTTCTTCTCTGTTTTACCTTTGTTTGTCAAGTTTGGAAGTGTATTCAAAGCTCCTGTGTGAAAATTAAAATTGAATACTTTCTAATAGCCCTTTAGTGCCAATTGTTGTAGAGTTCGAAACACTGTAATCTAAAGACCATTTAGAGTCCACAGCTCATTCCTGCCTTCCAGACTACTCCAACACAGGCTTTTTCAGACTCCTTTTCATGTCCCTTTACCTTTGGCATTGTCCAAGTTTCTAGTCTTGGCTTGCTTTTCTTCTCTACATGCCCTCTGATCATCTTAAGGCTTTTTGCTTCAGCTACCGAGGCAATGTCCATGACTCCAGCTGGGATTCTAACATGGGCATGCCTCTCTCTGAACTTCAGCCAGGTCCAAAGTTTCACGTGCCAATTGAACTTCACCTAAATGTACTACAGATGTTTCAAACTCAGTCATCCCCAAACAATTTATTATCTACACACACATGCACATGCGCACACACACCGAGCTACTCCACTCCCCTTCCAGTGCTCCCAGTCCCTGTGAATGGCACCATTGCCTGTATGGGCACCAACGTGAAACACACGGAGCGTGGCTGAGTGCTTCTCTTCCTCCTTCTTCCTCTCTACAGAGTCACCAAGTCTCTGATATGTCTCTCACCCTGTTCCTTCCTCACTGCCTTCATTGACATTTTCTTTGCTTTCTTGGATTCCTGCAAAGCCTTATTCATTCATTTGATAAGCAAAATGAAGAACTCTTATGTTTCAAACATTTTGCTAGATCCTGAAGATGTGCAGATGAGTATAAAATCCAGTCCGTAGTCCTGGCATTTAGTGGGTTGCCGTCTGCCAGCTCACTCCCCCTGCAGTAGCCCACCTTCCAGTCTTCCTCTGCACTTCCCCTGAGTTCTGCTCTGTCTCTCCGCTGCTGTCAAGCCTGCAGCCTCTCGCTGTCCCTTGTTAGCCAGTGCTCTTGCTGCTCCCTAGACATACCCACATTCCCACCGTCTGCGTCGCTGAGCCCTGCCCTTCTCCAGCTCTTCCAAGGAGTCCTCCCATTTTGTTGTCATCTTTCACTTACTGTACCTCTTGCTCTGGATGATAGCTGTTTGCTTCCCTGTCCCTCTCCCTCATCCCTTGGAGCATGAGTTCTTTGGGAGCAAGGATTGTGCTTCATTTACTGTGGTGTCCTCAGCACCTAGCAGGGCACCAAGCAGGTGCTTTCTGAAAAGAAGGATTGAAGAGCGCTTGGAGGGCTGGAATTCAGAACACATTTAGAGCCCTCCAGTCGGCATCACTGTTTTCAGAGAAGCCAGCACCATAATTTTACTTAAAGATGGAGTAATATTTTTTACTTTTTATATGATTGTAAGTAATTTAAAACAAGGCCTTTTGTTAGTAAAACATACAATCCAAAATACATGTACATTTTGAATGTAAAACTTGATACGGCTTTGCACTTAGGTGAATGGGGCAAGTCCCTTCTGCTCAGCCTTTGAAGGGCTTTAAGTGAGAAGGTTCGGGAAGCACTGGCCAAGGTAAATCTTAGCCCTGTTGATTGACTAAAGTTGGGGAGGGGCCTGCCATGCTGAACTCCTGTGTGGTCAGCACTGAAAAAAAACAAAAAGAGTAGTCACCCCGTTCTTGAAGCCAGCTAAGACACTGTGCGAATAAAGTAGCATTTCCTGGAAGTATTGGGCAGCCATGAACTCTCAGATGTTGAAATTTAGTCTCCTAGTCTCCTCCCAAGGATTTCAGCTGCGACTCAGAGTGCTCTAGTCATGCCTTTTGATTGGGTTTGTCTGGTTCTGTTATACCCATCAGAGGAGGGAGACTCTTCCCCTGAGATTTCCCAGGAACTATGGGCTGGAGTGCTTGGAGAGGAGCTCATACCTGGGTCCAAAGGAAAGCTCTTCAAGGAAGGAGCTCAGGAAGGCCCATCTCCTCTTGCATACTAGTTTTCTTACTGGCAACTCAGCAAAAGGCTTATTTTTGACTGTCTTGTTATTTTTTCTTGAAAGCTATAGGCACCTTATTATGCCTTTGCATATGTGCCAGAATTTTTTAAACTTCAAATGAATGTGGCAGATGTTCATAAAAGTTTAGAAAAAGCTACCATAGGAAGACTTTTTAACCATTTTTATGACACTCAAATTTGTTACACAAAAAGAAATACAAATTATAACCTAGTATTCTCATTTGAAAAAAGATTATTTTGGGGAAAGACCTAATTCTAGTCTTCATGCTCTTACAGGGTGCCCTTGCTATTTGTTAAATGGTACCCTAGTCACCTTAAAGAGTCCTCCTTCTTTCTGAAGTGACAAGTTTATAGCTCATTGTCATTCTTATCCCTCTTTATGCCTTTTTATATTCTTTCTCTCATTTAAGCAAACATTAATTTGAGTCCACTGGTAAGTTAGCAGGTAGCCAAGGGTATTGGCATAGACTTACTTTCTTCTTGGAGAGAAAGAGAATGATCATGTTAGCTGGCAGCTAGGAAATACCAAAACGTGGCCAGATTACACAGTGACTGTTTCCTTTTATTCTCTCAACCTCAGTTTAGTTCAGGAGACATGTCTGCATCCTCTCTTCTGTGCCATATCTGGTAGCAGGTGCTAGGTCACGTCTAGTAGCTGATGCTTCTCCAATTGATAAATGAAGACCTTCTTTCCCAAGCTTCACAAACAGTGCTTTGTGTACAGGACTCAGAGTGACATCAGGGATGTATGCAGAAGGCACTTTATATAATTCCTGGTAGAGAATGGTCAGGAAGGAGGAAGGAAAGGCAATAGCAGTGACACAGATTCAGACAGTGGCTCAGGTTAGCCTGTAAATGAAGCTCTGCCTACATAGTGGCAGTGACGTGCAGGGGTTAGAATGTGGCTCTGCATTCTGGCTCCTCTACCTCCTGCTTATTTGATCTTGGGTGAGGTAACTGACCCCTCAGCCTCTGTTTTCTCACCTGTAAAATGAGGGCAATGGCCATACCTACCTTATAGGATTGTTGGGGGATCCAGTGAGATAATGCTTATCAGCTGCCTAGCTTAGTGCTTGGCACAGAAAGAGCTCAACAAAGGTCAGCAACCATTGCTGTTCTCATTTCCTCGATGGCCTTAAATCTATTTACATTGTTAAGTTGATGGCTTTGAAATTGTGTTTTAGGAACTCTTAGGTTCCAAGGGTCATCACCCTCATTCCCTAGGGAAAGAGAGTTTCAACAAAATTGATGTGTGCCTGCCCTGTTTGCTCCTGGTTTGCAGTGCAGGGGGCACTGCATCAGGGATGGGAATGGCACTTTTGTAGATATGATGAATGTGCTCTCAGTCTCCTGCCCCACCGCTTCCCTACTGTGGTAATTTCAGGCCTGATAGTTTGTCTCTCTGTACCTTACTCTCTTCATCTGTAAGAGCAGTTAGTACTCATCTCTCAGGACTGTGGTGAAGGTTAAATAAATGAGTCTTGTCTGTGTCCAGCATATCCCAGTGTCTGCAATGGGGTAGGTGTGCAGTGTACATCGCCTTCTATAGTAACGTTTTGAGAGGCTTCTGTGTACCAGGCACTGCATTGTACTAGGAGTTCTGTGTAAAACGGTGAATATGACATAATCCTCGCCTTCGC